AACAAGCACTTCATGAACTTCAGAATAAGGTTTCGTTATTTTGCAAGGTATTATTATAGCCCAGACGTAAAGTGCGCCCCTCCCTTTGAAAGCAGCCCCCCCCCCCACCCTATCTCAGGACTGCCAACATTTCTGAATCCCCCTTTCGCTGGCTTTTCGCTGGCTTTTCCTGCCTTGGAGACCCCCCCCCCCCGAAATCCCGAACACTGCTAAATGTATCACACCCCCCCCCCCAAATTTCAGGTGAGCTCTAGTCGATCGAGGGGGACTGGGGGCCAATGCTTTTACTTTTCAATATGAAATAATCCTGAATGAGCTTTCAAAGCTAGCAGGAATTTCAGGAATTTGATCCCGAGATTTGATCAATTTTTCTATGATATTCAAGATGTTTTACAACCTCCTTTTTACATTTCTCACGAGTCCACAGAGAGAGAGAGAAAAAAAACCCATCCCCTTTTTAAAGAAATTCAGAGTCGAGAATGGTACAACGAATCGTCTTCTTTCTCTAATGATTTAATGAAACGTAAAAGCTTCCGCGCTTCGCGCGGGCGGGGGAAGGGAAAAACTGAATTCAGATGAGGATTAAAAGTCGAGAACGATACAACGAATCGTCTTCTTTCTCTAATGATTTAATGAAACGTAAAAGCGTCCGCGCTTTGCGCGGGAGGGGAGGGGGGGGGGAACTGAATTCAGACGAGGATTAAGAGTCGAGAACGGTACAACGAATCGTCTTCTTTCTCTAATGATTTTATGAAACTCAAAAGCTTCCGCGCTTTGCGCGAGAGGGGGGGGGGGGGGAACTGAATTCAGACGAGGATTATTTTACAACGAATCGTCTGCTTTTTTTAATAGTGTTTGTTGTTTGTTCGTTTGTGTGTGTGTGCGTGTGCGTTTGTGCGTTTGTGTGTTGTGTGTTTGTGCGTGCGCGATCGCGCGCGCTTGCGTTAATTCGTGTGGGCGTGTGCTCGTGCTAGTATGTGATGGCTATCGCCGATCATCCCCCCCCCCACACTCCTCGGTACGGATTTACGCCCCTGCAAGGAGGCCTTCTGAAGTTATTTTATTGTGCTCAACTTCTAATAGTGACACTATTATAGACCATAGATAGAACAGACACTAATGTGGCTAAATTCATGAGTGAGGTCAGGGGCAACTCAGTGGACAAACAAGTAGAAGAAGAAGAAGAAGAAGAAGAAGAAGAAGAAGAAGAAGAAGAAGAAGAAGAAGAAGAAGAGGAAGAAGAAGAAGAAGAAGAAGATCAGGAGAAGAAGAAGAAGAAGAAGAAGAAGAAGAAGAAGAAGAAGAAGAAGAGGAAGAACAAGAACAAGGACAAGAACAAGAAAATACAAGTGGGGGAAACAGAAAAAAAAAAAAGGAGAAGGAGAAGTTTCAGAAGAAGGGGGAAAAGTTTGAGAAGAAGGATGAGGAGGAGGAGATGAAGATTGATTAATAAGAAGTTATTGTAACACGCACAATATTTTTTTTCTCTGTATCTGATTCATGTATTGTATCTGTCCATCTTGATTTTATACTCTGAATTCATTTACAGTATGTACCATTGGTACATATGGTCCAGGATGTTCACAGACATGCCACTGTGGTTCATCATGTGATATCTACAGTGGAACATGTACAGGTGAATGTCAGACTGGCTGGTCTGGGGTCAACTGTCAAAGTAAGTCATGGTCAGCAGGATTTTTTCAAGCGAGGGGTTTTAAAATCGGGCCCAAAATTTGCTCCCGAAAATTCGCTCAGTGGGAGGGGGGGGGGGGGGTAAGCGGACACTTTTTTTGGGGGGGGGGTCTCGAAATTTGAAATTTGACATTACGTTCCATTGGGGGGGTAATTTTTTTTTTTTTTTTTTAATAAAAAAAAAAGGAAGTGGGGGGGGGGGGGTTCACAAAACATACACATAAAAAAACTCAAGAGGGGGGGGGGGGTTAACCCCAAAACCCCAAACCACCCCCCCTCCCCCCTCTGCGTACGCGTATGTCAGCAATGATAATACATAATATGACATGAATGCTCTCCCCAAATAAGATACATCAGAATGTTTACATGTACACTGCAACTTTGTAACAAACTTCCTTTTATTTTTGTTTACCTATGCCTATATGAACCGGATTGCTCCTGCAATACTGGAATAAGATAACTCAGTAGTTAAAGTTTTCATTTGAAGTTATTATACAGTGCGTCCCAGAAAAAACGAAACCGAGAATTATCGATGTTTTATCATAACTTAGTCACATTAATAATTAATAATTGACACATATTTGGAATGCTTAGATACTCCTCTTTATTTTATGGAACTCATATGACGCATGATTGATTAAAATGAATTTGAAGAGAGGAAACCAACAATTCATTTGGCGGACTGTCTCTGAATTTCAAAGGGAAAGACTTAACTCCATTTCGTTGACAATCAGCCATGCATGAAGTCTTTCGTGTGAATGTCAACGAAACGGAGTTAAGTATTTTGTTAATGCCGTTTGTTGCTACGGCAGGCAGCCAGTGAAAACGAATTCATTTATTAAATGAAACTATGGAAATGCAAGCACTACTTTAAACAAACAGAACTCTGCTATTCCTAGCTCACTTTTCCTGACTGAGGTGTCATATGAAAGGTCAGAAACTCATCTTACAAAATGTGATTTTCTCTTTGAAATTCAGATACGCCAAATGACTTTTTTTGTTTCCTCTCTTCAAATTCATTTTCATCACTCATGCGTAAAATATGCCTAATATGTGATGCATGAAAGAGGAAGATCTAAGCTTTACAAATATGTATCATTTATCAATTATAATTGTGACTAAATTATGATAAAACATCGATAATTCTCGGTTTCGTTTTTTCTGGAACGCACTGTATATATTTTTGTAGACATATCCAGATCAAGCTTTGTTTTAGGGTCCAATGTATTCCATTTTCATTATGTTCATGGATGACAAGAATGCCTTCTACTTCTACAAGTAGATAAACTAATAGTGAAGGCACGGTTAAATTCAGGATTATGTGCCATAATTGAAGTTTGTATATAGTGCTAGGAAAAAATCCAAACTAGTTACAAGGATACAAATGTTAAAATCACTAGTTTCGAGGAAAAGAATATTGTAATGGAAACAACCATATTTTTGTGGACTCCACCTAATATTATTTGCTGGTGTTTGTTAAATTGTGATTTCTAAAATATTTTCTTATCATCCTCAGTTCCAGATGAATGTGAAGCCAGTTACTATGGATCTCAATGCACTGATAAATGTCATTGCTTGAATGATGAACCATGTGGTAAAGGTACTGGAGAGTGCCCTGAGCAGAAGTGTGCTCTAGGATACAAAGTACGCAGTGGCCAGGTCATTTGTCAAGGTAAAATTCTGTTTTTCATTTAAGCGTGTTGAATTTTGCATATCAATTCCTATTTATCACAAGTCTACATACAACATGTACATACGTGAATGGTACAGTGTGCTAATTGACACACCGGTATTTTGTTTTATGTACCCTTTATGAACGCTCATAAATACATGTACATGTAGAGTATGTACATTGGTCATATCCTGGTCATATCAACCATATATTATGTACACAATGCTGAGATAGTAAATACATTGTTATAATGTATACTCTGGAGGGGGATTCTAGTAGACACATATTGACTTCTTTGGAGGGCATGGTTACTATGGTGATTATTCGCCGAACGTGATGTTGTAACTATACTATGCCCCTAGAAAAAAGCGAGGGGCATATATAGTGCAATCTCAAGAACACCGAGGAGCAACATTTACATGTATTTTAATTTGAATAGTGAGGTAAAAAATTAGCCGTAAATATTTGTTTAATATATCGTATTCATTGTTTGGATTCACCCAAAATATATCATGACAAAGTACTCCATTTAAAGTGTTTTCATTGATGGAGGGAAAGTTTAATAATCTGAAAAAGGGTGTGTGCCAACTGCTTGTTCCATTGTTAATTTCATGCGTAGAAGTAGACCCGAGCAAAAGTTATGTTTGCCTTTAGTATTCAATAATAATCATTGACCAGATGTCTCCAATATAAACATGAACTGTGTTTTATTTGTTCAGAGTGTGAAGGGGATACCTTTGGTTCGGATTGTCTTCAGCAATGTCACTGTGCTCAAGAGGCTTGTGAGACGGAGAGGGGTCTTTGTAAGGGACAATGCCTTGATAGCTGGATTGAACCGAGCTGCAGTCAAAGTAATTATACCTAGCATGTAATGTTTCTGTTTTGTTCCCTTGTTCAGCCATGATTATAATTCTTGTTTGTTGCAGACACTTGGGCATAGTTCAAAATATTTTGTTTTGTTTGCTCTGTATAAAGTCAATTCTTTATTTTAATGAAGTTTCTACTCCATTTTACACGCAGTAAGCGGAAGTTAAATGTAAAAAAAACAACCCCCCCCCCCTCCCCTCCAAATGATTATCAGTTATTGGTTAATCTTTGTACGGTCAACCCTGTCTATAGCGATCGCCCAAGGGATATACAAAAAGTAGTCGTTGTAGACAGGTGGTCTTTTTAGACAGGTCGGCGTAATTGGCCACCTTTTTAGCCAATCAATAAATCTAACAACCCAAGTTTCTTTTTTGGTGTTGAAAAAAAGTCATAATAAAAATACAAAATGATTTAACATTCTTCTTTTTTTGGGGGGGGGGGGGGGGATTGTCCAGGATTTTTGAATTTGTAGGCATATTAAATTTTGTTTTAAAGAAATGAATGTACGCCCACTAACCAGGCCTCTCACAGGCCGGTCGAGTCATCGATCGCGAAGTTCATTGTCTGACGCTGTGTAGTTATGTTTTCAATATCCCTATCCTGTCCTGTCCCTATCCTGTCGGTCATTAAATGTTTTGATTGAAGTTTGAATAAAAGCTTGGGGTTGATTTATTTTGTGTGTGTAAATGACCGTTAGATCTAGCTTTACAGGCTCCCGCTGTGCGAGCCGTATACAGCAGAGCGAGTGAACGAAATTACTCAAGCGCTAATGTTGCTGGTCGCTACATGGCTAGCCCTGACTGTCGTTGTGTGGGCATTTCCGGTGGCTAGCGGAAGCAAAATTAGTGGCCGCTGGTCGCGTTAGGGAGGTGGTCGTTGTGCACAGGCTCTTAACTACATGAAATTTCACAGGGGGGATTTTAAGTGGTCGTTATAGACAGGTGATCGCTAAGACAGGTTTGACTGTAATACAAAAATAATTTTCTCCAGTGGAAAGACATCTTGATTGGTAAAAGTCAGTGGTATCACGAAGCATGTACGATTAACAGACCAGGAGTATTGCATTGATATACATTAATCAATTCGACATTCGACTTTAAACAAAATAATCAGATTGATATCTTCTCTTGTTTAGGTAAACCTGCATGTACATGTACAAGTGTATTTGTGGTAGTTTTTTATGATCTTGCCTATAGTTCTGGATCTAAACACTGATATAACGAAGTGACTGAGTTGCAATCTTCTATTGGTGCAGACATGTATATTTGTATTGAATTTTTTGTATTTTTGCTTTGTTTTTGACAGGAATATCAATATTATAAGTAATTGTTCATTCTTTCTTATACAAACGAATCCATTCTTTTATTCATGAATATCAGGATAGGTTAATGTCTTATAAAGTGCATGTAAAATTTGTTCCCCATGTATTGTTAGTTATTATTACATAAAGCAAATAGATTTTGTGTGTGTCAAACTGTGTGTATTATTTAATGTTCTTCTTTCTTATTTCATCGTCTTGGTTCTTGACAGGAATATCGAGATTGGTTCCATTGAGAGTGAACCCATACCAGCCATCTACCTTCACATGTTATGTTGAGGGTATCCCACTTCCCGATGCATCCTCAGTTGATCTTTACAGACAGACTGGAAGCACCTATGACAGGACAGGAATCACCAGGAGATCAAGCACTGTCTCAGGGTCAGAACGAGCTGTTGTCTTTGATGTGGATAGTGTGTATCCACAGGAAGATGGGGGATACGAGTGTACTCTTATTGTTGAATATACAGGTTACCCCAGTGCGCTTATTACCAACGCAACCTATGGTGAGCATGCAAACTGCATGACATCAGTTTACTCTAATGTACATCTGTAAGATACCTGTTTAATAGAAAGTATGAATTCACTTTCTTTAGATGCAGAATTATTCTCAGTCGTTCTGTCTTCATCCATGGTTACAGGGCCAAAACAGGGGATTGCATCAGTTATGTTGTTGGAGGCTCTGTTTTTTTTTTTATAACTGTCATGGCAAAGGAAGAGGCAGGCACATGCCCAGGGGCGTACGCAGGATTTTTTCAAGGGGGGGGGGGGGTTTAAAATCGGGCCCAAAATCGCGCCGGCCGAAAAGTCGCTCAGTGGGGGGGGGGGGGTAAGCGGACACTTTTTTTTTTTTTTTTTGGTCTCGAAATTTGACAATTTGACAATTTTCTTCGTTGGGGGGGGGGGGGGGGTAAGGTCACCTTTTTTATGTTAGGCGTGGGCATATTTTTTTTTTTTTTTTTTTTTTTATAATTACAACAAAAAAACCAAAAAAAAAACCAAAGGGGGGGGGGGGTTTAGGTTTTTTTAGGGGGGTTTACACACATAAAAATACAAAAGGGGGGTTTGAACCCCCAAACCCCCCCCCCCTGCGTACGCCCCTGCACATGCCTTCCCTCGCCATGTAATAACAACAACAACAACAACTGTTACAACATGAATGACAACACAACTACACCACCAACCCCGACCACCACAACAATAACAGCTGCAACAAAAGCAACCTCAACAACAGCAACAACATCCTCAAAAACTGTAACAACATCAACAGACATATGTTGCAAAATGTGTGTGAAGCCTTCAGTAATACAAACAAATGGCAGAGCCTAGGTGGTTTACTGAATAAACTGCTATCTAATAATATTAAAAGTTACTAAATTACAAATTCATGTTGACTTTTGTTAAACATCACATATTTTTTTAATTTTTGATGTACATTTATGTCATATATATATATATATATATATATATAAAAGTGCGAGAATTCTGAACTCTGACATGACAACAGGTGTTCCAGAATATGTAGGCGTGAAGAAAATGGTCTAGGAACGTGAGACGTAGCTGTACTTTACTATTTTATTACGAGCTTTTGACTTGTGAGGCCTTCTTCAGGTTCTGAAGTGCAAACACATACATAAACCAATACATTGTACGAACACATGGCATACAAACTTAATATCACTCAAACATAGTAAAGCATCATGAACATAACCATTTCGGACCAAACAATTATATATATGTCCTCTATATACATTATATAATTACAGATGAACACAAGTAAACATGAATTTGTAATTTAGTAACTCTTTAACACGGAATGTATGTTCTTGTATTGATATAGTTGTTTCTACATGCAAGTGGCATCCTGTACATTGACCCATACATAAGCCCTACATGTGAATTAATCAATGAACTTTATATTTTAATATTTGATATTCTGGGCTTATGTAGCACTTGATACACCTACGATGTATCTCAGTGCTTTACAATGTTTTATGAACCCTGTCATCGGATTCAGACTCGCTCAAAGACAACGTATGCACATTATCTGCATCATACATTAGCAGCTCTTTTAGGTGTCAGTATAGAATTCCTGTGTACTTTGGTAAATTTAATATACATATTGACTTGGTGGAAGAACTTCCATTATAGGCGTGTCATTGATTTTGACGGTTATTTCAACAAAAAAATTATATTAAGTATTACTGTCTCTGTTTGTTTTTGTTCAGTTCTGCCAGTCATTGAGAAAGCACCAGTGATAGTGAGCACTACGTCAACTACAATTGGTCTTCGATGGAATGCATGGTCTGAAGAAGATGACGTAGGTGATCCTCCTCTGGTAGGATATGATGTCTTTGTAAAGAAGGATGGTGACTGGGTAACGGATCAGAGAGTAGACCAACCCACAACATCAGCCATCGTTATTAACCTGACACCCGACACAGATTACAGGTTTCGTGTAGCAGCAGTGAGGGAAGGTACAGGTGGAACAGGACCCGATTCTTCTAGGAACGACACTGTAACTCTCTGTAGAAGTAAGTTATGCTCAGAAGAAAAATAATTGAGTGTGTTGGAGTTTTAAATTTTTTAAACATACATCTACAGGTACATTGTATTTGCATTGGTAATTGATTTGTACATTTAGATGTACATTTAGGATAGTTATGCACTTTCCATTGAAATCATTAACTTATCTAGTTATGAGTAAAATATGTTCGTAGAAATGTTTGTATTTTCCATTCCATACATTTTTTTTAATTGTTCTTTCTTTCGAAAAAGTGACAGAGAACTGTCTTTTACAAAACATGCATGTTCATGCATCTTCTTTATAATTGTTTATCTTCAGAACCCAGTGCTTCTCCAACTGGACTACTAGTTTCAGCCATCAACCCTAAAGAGCTAGAGGTGACGTGGGAGGTATGAACTGTTTTAAGAATAACTGTTTGGTCACGTATGCCTGGATTACATTTGGCCTGCGATTAGTCTACGGAGCCCGTATCCTGCCCGTATCCCCTTTTCCGTGCGGCCTCTGTGCGGAGGCAGGAGGCGGCCGTGAGATTTTCGTACGGATTCACCGGCTCCGCGGCGACTACGATTTTGTTTCGCGAGGAGTTAATGCCTGGATTACATTTGCCCCGGGCGCCGTACGATAAATTAGTATACGATTTTTCGTAGACATCGTAGGAGGCTACGGGCTACGATGTTTGTGTTTACATTATTTACGAGTATCGTGCCATTTATTGTATTGACCCTCGGGGGCAGGACGGGGCAAATCCGTACAGAGGCTGCTCGGAGATTGTACGCAAATCGTGCATTTTGAATGCAGTAGCCGTGCAGTCTCCGCAGCCTCCGCACGGAATCGTACGGAGCCCGTGGATCTTCCGTGCAAAGGTTGCGCGGAGAAGGCGCGGGATGAATGCTCAGTATCACGGATACTGCACGGACAGCGAGCAGCAACCTTGTGATAGCTGTGCAATGGCCGTGCGAATGCCCCACGAGTCTACAATCTCTGTACGATTTTTTTTTGCTCCCATTTTCACCGAAAAATCGTACGTTTGCTGCACAATCAGTGCGAGGCCTCCAGGCGATGCCCGTGCGGGGATTGTGCAATGCCACCTACGACATGTATACGGGCTACGGGCTTACGACTTTTTCAAATTTGTTTAACTTCTCGCGAAACAAAATCGTAAAGGCTGCGGAGCCCGTGAATACGTACGAAAATCTCACGGCCGCCTTCTGCCTCCGCACAGAGGCCGCACGGAAAAGGGGATACGGGCTCCGTAGACTAATCGCAGGCCAAATATAATCCAGGCATAAACAAATTTGAAAAATCGTAAGCCTGTATCCCGTACACATGTCGTAGGTGGCATTGCACAATCCCCGCACGGGCATTTCGTGGAGGCCTCACGCTGATCGTGCAGCAAACGCACGATTTTTTAGTGAACATGGGGAAACAGACGCCGAAAAAAACTGCACGGAGGCTGCACGGTCACCGCGCCTTCTCCGCGCAACCTCTGCACGGAAGCTGCACGAGCTCCGTAAGATTTACGTACGGAGGTTGCAGAGACTGCACGGGTGTTGCACTGAAATTGCACGATTTCCGTACAATCTCCGAACAGCCTCTGTACGGATGTGATCCGGTCTGCCCCCGAGGTCCAATACAAGAAATGGCACGATGCTCGTAGATAATGTAAACACAAACATCGTAGCCCGTAGCCTCCTACGATGTCTACGAAACACCGTAGACTAATTTATCTTACGGCGCCCGGGGCAAATGTAATCCAGGCATTAGTTGGATGCAGATGGATGAAAAGACTCGTTCAGATCACAGAATACATAACTGTTAATAGTCACAATATTATTACATCGGGGTAGAACGGCACCGTTATAATATGGAGCTGGTAAATATATTTGTTACCTTGATTACACTTGATTTTACCTAAAATGTTAATCGAGATAATTATGTCAAATAAGATCGTTAATTAACCACTTCATCATTATGCCTTTACCATTCTCGATACTTCTTAACGTACCTCAACATTAGACTATAAAGCAAAATACTTCGGATTTAAAAACAGGTGTACAAATTTTTGTTCGCCAGTTGAAAGTGTGTGCTGGGGGGGGGGGGGGGTTATGTAATAGAAATTTAATTTGATTTCACAAGTAAGATATTAATCTACATTAATCTACATTTGCCACTCTCCACCCAGGTGTTAAATGGGTACCGGTAGGAAGGAATTCCTTGAATGCTGTGAGCGCCGATATCGGCTGCCTATAAAGCAGAGCCGGGGTAATAGTTGGAGAGCCTTGGGCACCATGCATGGTAGATATGTGCGCTATATAAAATAAATATCCAATATTATTTTTGAATATGAATATGTTTTGTGGTCCAGAGATTCTTGTTCTGCAGAATTTCAATTTCATTTTTTTTCCTTCAATTTTCAATTTCAATTTATTGTCCAATATTGGAAATTTGTTTTGCTCACATTTTACAAACGTACAAAGAATCAAAACAAGTTTACATACATAATACATAATATACTTTGACATAGAAATTCTTCAGATTATTGCTTTATAGAAGTTTTCCTACGCTATCATGAAACAAAATAAGTGAATTATTTGTTATGTTCGAGTGGACGGGATGGCCCGGAAACATTACAAAAATAACATTACAGAAATAAAGAAAAGAACTTAAAATTCAGGTAGCATTTTGATCGTATTTGCAGATCGAGGAAGGAACAAAGGAATTTAGAAAACGTTGAGTGCGACAGTTCATTGAACGAAGTCGTTTACCAGGAAGGTGTTTCATAAAGCTGTTCGTAAAGTTAGGCATGACTTTACAAACATCTTGTATATGAAGTGCCAGATAGGATCCACAAAGATTTTCCTGATATTTCCAATAACCTCAATTCTCAATTTATGGCAACAAATTATACTTTGCATTAAAAGTGTTTGTTATAATAAGAATGTTAATCTACATATGCACAGTTCAACTTAAGTTGATGCAGTTAATAATGATTGAGCACCCCATTTGGCTATTTAATACAGAAGCGAATCCAGCCCCCCCCCCCCCCCCTGGCGCTCAAGGGGGGAGTGCAAATTTTCAAGGGCCCCCCCAAAAAATAGTGCTCACTACTAGAAAATGTTGGTTGCACCACTCTTCAACTTGTTCACCTCTTATCAATATTGATTGCAGCATCCTTATTAATATGGAAATTGTAGATAACCTATTATAACATCTTGTAGTTTTGTTTATTTGTGTGAAAGTATCTTCTTTTATGTGGTTGTAATGCATGTAACATGTATTTGCACCTTAATGTTTTAGCACCTCCCCTCGGAATCAGCAGACTGCAGGAGTGGAGTGACCCATTATATGATCTACTACGCTCCCTCTGGTTCAACTTCTTCAAACTCTATCTTGGTTTCTCGCGACAACAGCTCCTATGTGATAAGAGGGTTAGAAACCTATCTGGACTATACCGTCCAAATGACTGCATCAAATAAAGACGAGGAGAGTGACAGGAGCAGTGAGAGTATTGGCAAAACAATTGAAGAAGGTGAGACTTCATCAGCTAGTTATCTTGGATTCTTGTAAGGAAAATACTCGTATTCCGAAATATATATATATAGTAGAATATGTGCAAATCGCTGTTATTTACTTGATATAGTGTGAGTTGAACACGTTTCCCAACGAGTGCTGCCAAATAAAGGTGAGGAGAATGACAGGAGCAGTGGGACTATCGGCAAAAGAACTTTAAGAACGTGAACGTTTGCTTTCCAAATACAAAGTACATTTTTTCTTTCATTCTTTTCTGCAAATATTGTTATATAATAATAATAATATTCCGTTTTTTAATTAGGGCTCAATACATTGATTCAACGATGTGCCTAAGCGCTTTACAGATATATTATTACCCTGGTCATCGGATTCAGGCTTCCCGCACACAATGTGTGTACATTTTCCACTCCCTGAGAAATGAGATCAGAACAATATTATTCAGTTGTATACAGTTTGAATTGAATATGTTTTGTACACCCTAGCCTGTGACATATTGAGACCCTTCCCAGAAGATCAATTGTTTAATAATTTATCATTTATTTGTGTGGTTTGTGTAAAGGACTGTTTCACTCTGCTGCTGGTAATAGTTAGCTGTCTATATGATACCTGTTATCATACCACTAAAGTCATATATAACATTTATTTGCATTGTTTTTAAATCTTACAACATAGAGATTACTAAAATTCAAGATATTTGCTAACTTCTTTCATCTCGTAGATACTAATTGTTTTACCTTTTTTTTCCTTTTTCTTTCTTCTTCTCAATGTTATTTTTGTTCTCCCTTTGTCACTATGATGCGATTTTGTACTTATTAGCTGTTTATATAGGCTCAATAGGACGTTGTACCCTGTCATGACTCCGAGAGCCAGTATAGAAACAGCTATACCTCGAATATTAAAGCAGTCCATATCTGTTTGATATACCAAATTCATAAATAATCTACAAAGAAGTCTTATCTTATCCGTTTCTTGAGAAAATATTGGTTTAAAAAATCACAGAAAATCTGAAACGCTGTCTGCTAATCTTTGCATGAAAGTTGCCTGAATGTTACGATCATTCGGGAATACACACTCTGTATGGTATCCGCGCTCGCACAAAATAGACTTTTTACACGTAACGAATTGGGATCTCAGCAAAATTTAACTATGTGGCCCGTTACCCTGGGCAACGGGAATAGTTCGTTTCTTTGCAGGCATGGCTTCAATCACGACTTCAATTTCAACCAATCAGATTACTAGATTTATTCAACATACTAAAGAGAGGTACATACATATCAATATGTATATGGTGAATGAGGTTCTTACCATTACCCGCCCTTCCTCTCCCTCCTCCCGCACCCCCCCCCCTCCCCTCTCATACAAAGTTTATACATTTTTGTTTATAACGACTCTTATTATCTGCTTTGTCGTCACAGTTGCACCTAGTCCTATCAATGTGGCTATACCTCAGAGTACTACAAGTTCCTTCACTGTTTACTGGTCTACCCCTCTACCATCTAACACCAATGGTAACATCCAGAAGTATATCATCCGCTACCAGCAAACTGATCCCGTTGTTGATGGTGACTATAAGATGGAGGAAGTATTGAACGGTGCGTTTGAAGGAGAGCATACTGTGGTAGACCTGACAGCAAAATCCAACTACTCAGTTCAGGTAATACATGTCATATATTTATATGTACTTGTATACGGCATGAAAAGGTTGGGCCTGGAAGAAACTGTTTGAAAGTGGTAATCAGGAATGAATTTACATGGATGGGCTAAGTATGCTTGAGAGGTGAAGATGATGAAAATGTGAAAAGAGCGTGGGATCTGGAAGTGGATGGCATTAGAGGGAAATGAAGATCAACGATTTTATGAAAAATATGGTGAAGTGAAACCACAGTAAGGTTGGTCTATAAAGGAGAAGGATAATTGAAACAAGAAGAAGTGGAGGGAGGGCGTGAAAGTCAGTAATCCCTAGCAAGGGGTAAAATGCTAACTTTAATGAATAATGAAGATAATGCACACAAAGTAGTAAAAACTGCACATTTCTGATTCACTAAGGACTGGGGGTAGCTCTATTAGGGCGTACAATGCTAGGATGCAATATATTCGCATGAAATGTCAAATATCCCTTTTTGAGAATCCGAACTTGAGATGCGATGTATAAAACAAAAATTGACAGCTGAATTTTCGTTTCTGTCTGAAAATTGAGCTCACTTGGCTTCTGAAAGATAAAGTTGAGTTCTGGTCATGCGATTGCATATGAAAGAAACGGTGTGGAATCGACCAGAAAAAGTTGATCATGTAGCACATAAGTATTGGTGTTTACTGCAAGGTTCCAGAGTCATCAACATGATAAGAAATTTGGCCCAGTCTTGGTGGAGTATCAAGCACTGAAGACAGAAATATGTATATGGGACTACACAACCATGTGGCATAACAATCGGGCCTCATTTCTAAGCTGTTACTTGTCATATTTGAATAGCCATGCTTTTCAAGGAACTTTTTTTTCTGATGTTTTTCCACACTTGTATAATAAAAATGATAACGCTCATAAATTATTTTTCACCTCTCCCAGAACCCAGCCCTCTCTTTAAAGGACTTCTATAGATGTTATTTTAGAACGTATAGTTCGATTGTGGAAAGTTGTGGAAAGTTACCTGAGATTTGCCCTGACTCGGTTGCTAAAAGAATTTTTAAGAACAAATATAATCTGTATAGAATTATGGAAACCATAACGGAAATTGTTTAAACATTATTTAATTACATAGGTACAGACTGTTAATGGAGCTGGTTCCAGTAATTGGTCAGAACCTGTGAATGCTAAGACGGTACAATCAGGTAAGAGCATTATAAGGCTTATCACTATTGTGTTTGGATCACTGAAGTTAAGGAATCAAAACCAGGAATGCCGCTTTTAATTGGATAGGTAGAGCTTGAAAATCAAGATGCAATTTTATTCAATCTGTGAATACAAATGAGACACAAAAGGATCACAAATACATGTACAATCTTTGCACATATAAATGAAGACTGATATATCCAAACATCAACTAAGTTAATGAAAGCTAAATGCCTACATCAAATTAACTGTATCCACTTCAAGCTCGACATATACTATCATTGAATCAACAGATAAACAAATCTAGAAGTTTCTGACAGTGCAGTTTCTATGCTCTGTTCTGAAACTGAAATCAAGTCAAAATACTACTTTAACTTCTTGAAATGTGTAGTGTAACCTCATTATAATAAACTCACTAAGACTAAGGAAACTTCCCCGTTAAATACGAAGCCTAATCTAAAACATCACCAAAAACAATGTCTCATTAATCAAATATAAGATTAAACCCCTAGTCCTTTGTTTACATGATAACTCACAAACTTCCATTTAAAGAGCAAACATTTCCAGTTTATAAGCTTACTAAACCACCTGGATACATGGTATTAAACATATCTACATAGATGAAGCGATATTTAAAGAGAAGGTTGAGTTCTGGGAAGAGGTGAAAAATAATTTGTGAGCATTACTCATTCTTATTATGCAAGTGTGGAAGAACATCAGATAATGTCCTCTGAAAAGCATGTCTCTTCAAATGCCTTCATATTCTAAATATGCATGTAACATCGTAAAAATCGGGGGCCGGCTTTTTACGCCACGTGTTCGTGTAGTCCCATATACATCTTTCTGTGTATAGTGTTTGTAAGTTTACCAAGACTTGGCCAAAATTCTTATCATTTCGATGATTCCAGAACCTTGCAATACACACAAATTCTTATATGCTAGATGATCAACCTTTTCTGGTCGGTTCCACACCGTTTCTTTCACAATGCAATCGCATGACCAGAACTCAACTTCATCTTTAACATCGCGTCTGTATGTTATGCATTGTCATTTCTAAAAGCAATAAGACTTCCAATGTAACTCACACAACGTAGACCCTATCACTATTCAGTTTTGTGCATAGCGATTTATACACTGTACTCGGTACACATTAATTATGTAATATCATTTTTCCTCAACAACCTGACCAAAACAAATTCTTAAATCACCACATATGAAAAGCATGATATTTTAAATATAAACTTACTTCTATGGCGACATTTCCTGGCTAACTAAAACAACATAGTAAGACTTTCGTCTCCTGTGGATCCTTTCCTAACGAAAGAAACATGGCATCTGCGAACACGTCGCTCTGCACTGCACTAGAATTAGCATAAATTCCATACGCGCTATGCATGGTAGACGTAAAATAAGCTATACGGTGTCTTCTGAATTGAAAGGAAAACAATTCAGCTAACTCCTGGTTTGTCAACAAACCAGTGTTCATACATAAAACCTTTTCCATGAGAATTTAAACTTTGGCTACTAAATTCTACTCATTCCACTATTTGATACAGGACCATATGTTTCTCATAGGCAATGCATTAAGAAGTGTATCACAAAGTTCTATATTAACTGCTGGTACTTATATGATGTATGTATCTCAAAACTTGTCATTCTTTAGTTCCTTATGTTCCATGGATGTCGCATTTTGTCAAAGATTGTCTGCATTGAACACCTTTAGAACACCATGAACAAAATTAAAGATAAATAATAGTTTTTATACAGAATACCACTTCTAATTAATTTCTTGTCCTTGAGATCCCGCAAATCATGGGAAATGGATCTATAAACAGCAAATAACACATAGCCAGGGGCGTCTCCAAAGGGGGGTGTGGGGGTGCGACACCCCCCCCTTCTAATTAATTTGTTGTCTTTGAGATCCCGCAAATCATGGGGAAATGGATCTATAAACAGCAAATAACACATAGCCAGGAGCGTCTCCAAAGGGGGGTGTGGGGGTGCGACAACCCCCCCCCCCTCCCCCCACCTGTCAGGATATTGTCGGTAAAATTGCGCTGCCGTCGGGAAAAAAGAGAAAAGGGGGAGGGAAAAAGAGAGGGAAGGGAAAGAAAAGGAAAAGAGAGGAAAGAAAGGAAAATAAAGGAAAGAAAGGATACGCGCCTGCATTCAAATATATGGTTGTGATACTGACTTAGTCGACGAAAAAAATCGTATATATTTCATGTCGTCGAGCAAAATGACAATTTGCGCATATGCAAGTATCATAGATAGTTCATAGGAAAAACAATTTAGCCTTCGGACACGGATTAATAGGGTTAAATTTGTAGGTATTTTGGACATTTAATTTTGTCGGTAATTGGTGGCTAGTTTTGTCGGTAATCTTTGGCCTCTTCACCCCCCCCCCCCCCCCCCCCCCCACTGAAAAAGGTCTAGCGACGCCCCTGCCCCATAGCAAGTAAGTTGTAAGTTCTAAACACGTACTTTTAGAGCATTGTTTTTCTTCAATACATATGCTTGCGAACTCCGTAACAGCAGCGATTCAATCTTTACTCAAAGGAACTGATGCTGTGACTAGCTGTCAACATTTCAAACATCTGCTTATACTTATAGTAGCTAATGTTCCTTACTGCAAAATACATGCATATACAAACACAACAATTCAATGCAATTAAATTCTTTTTTTTTCTCTTTCAATCGTTCTTATTTAAAATGATGGTACATTTTAACATATTCACATTTTTATATACATATAGATCAATTTGCACAATACAATACATTAACAAAAATAAACATGACATTGAAAGGGAAGGAGGGCCGACTAAACAGCAGAGCTTGTAGGGTGTAAGCCCCCCTATAAAATTAATTATTATGAATTATTATTTAATGAGAAGAAGAAAAAAAAACTGATTCAGTAATAATAAATAAATCATATTTAAACGCAAAACATTGATAAATACAAACATGTTTATAAAAAGAAACAATAAAAGTTGCATAAAGTAACACTAAAAATTATATTTGATCGGGGAATGCTTTTAAGTCTCCTTTTGAAAATTTGTATCGAATTACACTGTATAATATCATTTCACAGTTTTGGACCTGTAAAAAGAAATGTCTTTTGTGCAAAAGATGTTCTATTTAATGGTAGATGAAAAGAGCTCGCCTGGCGAGTGAGGTAACTATGAATCGAATCATTTCTTACGAACATAATCATGAATAAATAAACGAATACAAATAAATACTAAATTCCCCCGTCTCCCTAGGCTTTAATACAGAAGGTATCAAATTCCTGTGATTGATTGGTACATCTATTTTCATTTATTGCAATACTTTCTAGGTGGCCCTCCCAGTGCATCGATAGGACCGATAGTAGGGGGTGCCATGGCTGCCCTCTTTATTATCATCCTGGTCATTATTCTCGTCCTTGTCATCTTTAGAAGGTAAGTGACAGGGAAAACGTTGTCAAATGGTCATTAAAATAGTTGGAATACACTGTTAAAAGACACAAAATAAACAAAGACTAAAAACGATCACAAACTTCCATCCATTATTTTGCATAAGTTGCAAAAGATATGATTTGTTTTTAAACTATAGAATGACTCAATATATTGGTTAAATAAATAAAATCAAAGATTACATATCACCGTCAGGAATTTTCCTTTACAATGTTGGGTGTTTGGATTATATACATGTTTCTCACTTTAGGTCAGTAAGGAACTCTTTGCACAAAAAGTCTCATCTTTGATGGATTGCAAGGAAAATCCAGGTCAATTGTTGCATAGATAATATGATATGCAAAACGAAACCCAATGGAAATGAATATTAACCAGACATTACTAAATCTCATGCTTAATTTTAACTTGGTAATCATGTAGCTTTACATGAAAGTTGGTTTATATATTCATGTGCATACAAATAATTCGAATTCTGATTGCTTCCTGAAAAGGCTTATTTAGTGATTCTTTTTATCGGTTGACCCTTTTTATTTGTTAATGGTTTGTGCATGATTTTTATCATCGTTTTTTTAACCAAACTTGACCTGCATGGTAGCATATTGACTCTTTATAAGCCACACAAATAATCCCCCTGTGCAATGTCGTATTTATTATGCGATACATATATCAAGGTCTTTGAAATTATCTAACTGAATGTGTATCTGTTTTTTGCGCAAAATATGTGGTGGTACACAACTATTAGAAATATGGATATTTCAGCCGTCTCTGAACCGATTTTGTTATTTAAATTGTATGTTCTTTCAAATTTGACAGTCAGTTTTTCATTATCTCACAAAAAATTATTTTGAAGGAGGAAATTAATGGTTTTTTTTAATTGAATTTCACTTCCAGGATCAAACAAAGACGTTTAAAAGCTGAACCAGCCGCGTCCCCACCAAACAATACACGTGAGACCTCATCAAAGTATGAGAACCCTGTATTTGATGACTCCAACCAAGACCCCAATACATACGAAGACTTGAATGCTGATACCCATGCCTACCAAGATCTCAATACAGATACCCCAAACTACCAGAATATTACCGACCCCCATACGTATCAAGATCTAAAGAAACCCAACACCGACGTTACCTATCTAGAAGCCATAACATCAGATCCGGGAGACACTTACGAAGAAATATAGAGCCAGCCCAAGCGAGGCAGAGGGATGTGGTGCCAGCAGGATACATACTGGATCAACAATAATGAACAGGTTATGCAATACACAGAGTTGGTAATATTGATCATGGTGCTCATAATTCCTAAATATTCATGTGCTCATACTACGATAGTACACTATTTCAATTGATGCAAGAATTATAACGAAACTTAAACAGCTACTTTGTACTAATGTTATAGAAACATTAAATACCTTATGTGGTTTTTATATCTTTACTAGTTTGTAAATAAAGGGCTGAAAGGGTACATTTACGTTTAAATTCGTCGAAGTAACTATCATTAACAATGCAAAAATGCCACTTTACACTTATTCAATACTTTTGTACAGTAATCTGTTTTTATCTTGTTTTTTACTTGAAGCGGTGTAACATTTCTCATCTTCAAGTCATAGATATATTTTGTATAGATTGGTTAAACGTGTAGATTATATAGATTTATTCAAAATCTTGTGCCTGCAGGACAAATATTTAGTTTTAAGCTTGTGTAAGAATATATATTATTAAGTAATAAGGTTTATTAGCCGCCAGCACCATTGTCGAAAAATTTAGTATAATTCCTTTAAAACACGTCGGTCACCCTTTTGCCCAAGTAACGCATGGAAAAATGCATGATAGATAGTTCAGCCTTCGCTTGCTTTCTTCACCTTTCTGCCAGTCACCTGTTTGTCACACGTGCAATTTTGCACAAACCAATAGGCACCAATTATTGACTGAAGCATTGCTTTGTGCAGCACAATCCGGCGCTTTGTCAAATTACTAATTTCTGGTCTTGATTAGCTCCGTGACAACCATTTTAATACTGGTACAGATTAATGTTACACTGCAACTGTTAAATTCCTGAAGTGGAGCAGGGGTTTAATTGTGTTGCATGAAAAGAGTTAACTCGTGAAATAAGCTGTGATAAATAAATAAATGCAAAGTGACACCAAGACTTTTCAGGGTTTTTTTTTCTAGATGGGGTGCCGAATCTGCCATTATTCCTCCCAACTTCAGAATATTGAGACCAGCCTGAATAGTAATTGAATGCACGTAGTTCATTTGCTCTGAAGATCAAGATATCTTCTCTCTCTCTCTCTCTCTCTCTCTCTTTCCTTCTTTCTCTCTCTCTCTCTCTCTCTTTCTCTCTTTCCTTCTCTCTCTCTCTCTCTTTCCTTCTCTCTCTCTCTCTTTCCTTCTCTCTCTCTCTCTCTCTTCTTATCTATGTTTATCATTTCGGTCACTCCGTCTATCATGGATGTTTAAGTATTTAACAGGTGAACAAAGTGCTTGGAAAATTTTGTTTAAATATTGAATCAAGAAAATTGAGTATTTGCCTCTTTGTTCACATTTGAATTGCAAAAAGAGCAATATGTATTGTTGTGACAATGGCATTTGAAATTACTTTATCACCTAAGTCATTTGTTTCGTGTACTATTGATGCATGACATGAATACACAATATTTGTAATAGCACTTTCTCAGGCAATGTGCCTAGTATAGCGCCACCTATTGATATTCACTAAGAAGGATACATGAACATGGTTTTACCATGAACAGAGGTTCAAGAATCCCTTTTTTGTCAGCGCATCAAGGAGATTTAAGTCATAATGTTGTCATTAAGTCAGGCAAAGAGGTTAGTTTTGTTATATATTTAATGTATTTCTATGAATTTTCGAAACATAAAGTGGAATTTAGTGTTTATGTTTTGAATTTCATACTGAGAGATGTTGATGTTTGCAGTATGTAATGTAATGTAAGAAATACAAGCCCATGCTGGTTTAATATGATGTATGTACATTTTACCTTGTATCAAGAACAAAGATAACAGTTAAGATACAACCAAATACTTTGAAAATATATTATGAGAGTGCTGAAGCACTAGGTAGAGATTTTGAATTTATTATTGTCTAGTTAATTGTTCAACCAAGCTATTATAGTGAAGTCTAGTTGAGACACTTGTAGTGCGAGTTTGTATTTATGTAAAGCCGTAATGCAGATGGACTAGAATAGTGACTGGGAAATTTGAATAGGTTATGAAGATCATGACACAATTTACATTATTTCATGAGTTTCTCAAAAAGACTGTGTTATTGCTGTATTGATGATGCTATGATGTTCTTGTATTTACGATTCTTTATCTGTGATTTATCCACAATTTTCACGGAATGAAACGGATGAAATGGTTACTCAAATCAATGCTACAAATTCCCGTAGAAGCCTTTGTTCAGAATTGTTTATTTGATATCGACCTCGCTGCAGCCACAGTATCGTATTTGTAGAAAAGAAAACAGTTGCCTAACTTTTATGTTGACATGTTTTGTTCCTGAGGTGAATTGAAATACATTTATATGTTTAAAGTAACAGATATCGAAAATGAAATGATTTGGTAAAATAGCGATATTAAAAATAGATATGGGTTATTGCATTTTCCAAACTGGATAAGAAATAATATACTTAGAGTGTTACAAGTCTTAGTAAACAGTATTTGGAAAGAAGTTGATTCCATTTTTTATATAAATTTTCAAGAAAATGAATTACTTTCCGCCTTCAAATTGGCAAAGTTAAAGTGTATTTTTTCTGATTTTTGGTTGCAGAAGTATAGGATACAATATGTAAATACTTCAGATACACAGATCCCAGATACAACTAACCACCTTTTCAAGGTTTGTCAAAAGGTTTCGCCTTTTTGGAAACTTGTATTCAAATTAATGGATACTTTAATTTTTAAACTCTTAATGAACGAAAAAATTATTTTGATAGGTCATGAAATAGAGAGAAGAGAACTGAATCTTGTAAATCTTATTTTAAACCTTGCTCAGTTTATTATCTATAGAAACTATATTAGAGAATGTTTTGGAAGTGAAAAGCACAGGATACATGCTGTATTTGATGAAAGAATTAAAGGTAGAAATTCGCACCTATCTCAATATGGAATGTAATCATAAGAAATTTGATACAAACGAAGTAACTAAAATATTTCATTATTTTAGTTAGTGATTATGTCACATTGGTTTCATGTTTTGTACTACAGAGTGAGTCAAATAAACTAAGTATACACCAAGCAAAATTCCTAATTATTTTAAAAATCATTTATGAACAGTAAACTATTATACATCTAATGAAAAAGTGTTTTATCCCAAATTATTTGGTATCATTTCTGTGCGGTATGTGGTCACGCTTGGATGAACAGGAGACATTGTTTAAGAGAGTGCAAAAGTCGACTTGCGCGAAAGTGATGCCTATACGCTCTTTGCAGATCCTAAAAACATCCCTGAGAAAACTAATCATGCCATACATATAAAAAAAACACACACGGAGTTAAACTCAGTCAGTCACGCATACACACCTACACACGCACACACACGAACACACCACCGCCGGCGCTCTCGCACACTCAGATAAATGAAAAGTATACGCAGCCAAGTTATTATTACGTAATGAACATTTCTGTAAAATCGCAAATTTCCCATTTAATATAAAAACGGAATTTAAATTCAATCATAATGCCATAATAAAAATTTGTGGCATCACAATGAATTGTTTCTCCCAAGGACTTGGTCAGTCTGCATTTAAATAAGCTTTGTGTGTGTGTGTGTTCCTTGTGTGTGTTTGTGTGTGTGTGACTTTGCTTCTGAAAAAAGCATATTGCAATGCATCTCATTTAATACATTCAATTCATTCTCTTCCTTTGATACTTTTGCGCAAGTCGATTCTTGCACTCTCGCAAACAATGCCTCCTGTTCATCCCAGCGTGAACACACCACACAAAAATGACACCAAACGATTCGGGACATAATACTCGTTCAAAACATGTATGATAATCTTTTATTCATAGCTGACTTGAAAATAAATTACACTTTTCTGAGTGTAAACTTTTTTTTTTTACTCACACGGTATATATGATATGTTACAATCGCATGGATTCTGTATATAAACATTGTTGTAAATAGTTTTTTTTTTTTATAATATGAACAAATAAAGTCCCTCGAAAGAGGATAAACGGAAGAAAAAAATAAATCTGTATCTCACTCCTTTCTCCCCAATCACCTAGCTTTCTTCTCTCTCTCTCTCTCTCTCTCACCTTCTCTCTCCCTCATCTCATTCTCTCTCACTCATCGTCCCACTCTCTCTTTCTCTACTTGTCTCCCTCCTACCAGCTCTCACTCCCTTCCTCCTCTCTCCTTTATCCCCAGTCACCTAGCTCTCTTCTCTCTCCCTCATTATCCCACTCTCTCTCTCTCTAATCTCTGTCTCTCTCACTCATTATCCCTCTCTCTCTCTCTCTCTCTCTCTCTTTCTCTACCTGTCTCCCTTCTACCAGCTCTTACTCCTTCTGTTCCCTTCACTCAATTCTCCTCTATTTCCCTACAGACTGTTTACCTCCGCTAACTACAATTATTTATATTTTATCGTAATTGTATAATGTACCAAGTAACACAACAGATGTTTTATTCCAACAAACATATGTCCTCAAAAATATTGTTAAAAATGTAGTAACATACTGATGTGTACATACAAGTCCTTGATTTACATCAGAAGTGTGGATGCGTGTGTTTATCCCCCCCCCCTTCTCTCTCTCATTTTCTCTCTCTCTCTCTCTCTCTCATTATGAAGAAAGGGAGAGAGTAACTGTGTTATAGGACACATAGATCAGATGACATGTGCTCCATGGTCTATCTCCTATCTCCTGCACGAGTCCCTTCTACATTCATGTTTAACCCTAGTCCCAACTCTGTACCTTAACCTGAACCTCTACCTAATGGTAACCCAATCGCAATACTAACCCTAACCATAAATGTCACCTGAACAAATATCAGGTTACCACGAAAGAATATTAAATGTAATCATGGACAGAATTACTATTAAGATTTATCCTTTTTGTTTTTATTCACGCAGTTTAATAACATTCTATATATATATAAATGTTTAGATAACATACACAGCCTAATAAATTCAAACTAAGATTTTTTTGTTACTCAATGAATATGTCACCTAGAGAATGTAGGCAAAAGCAAAAAATTGGTAAAGCTTGTTCAGTTTGTGAGAATGCATTTTGCTTAATCCATCTACCAATTAGAAAAGTAATCATCTGTAACAATTTGACAAGAACCAATTGCATGTCCATGATTTTGTAGCAAAAAAGAATGCGATTCCAACTATCATCTTGGATAAATGTGAATCACCTTAAATTGATATTAAAACATTTTATCTAGTCACCAGGGCCCTGTTTCACAAAACTTGTCATCCGTTACAAGGTACCATAACTTTTATAAGCTACTAAAATCGTGGCATTGATTGGCTGAGAGCAAATTTGTAAATTTGTCATAGTAATTTAGCATTTGTTATTGAGGAAAAGTTTTATGAAACAGGGCCCAGAATCATGAGTGTAATATAGGTATTTTGTGTAATTACTCAAGAGTCCATTCATTTCATACGAAAATTTATAAAAAATCATTTTCCACCTCTATGTGTATAATGACGTTTTGCATGGTATGGGTCGACGACTGTCAGATTAATCCACAAAGTACCTCAAAATACTTCAAAATATGAGTATTCCAAGGCACTTGTCTGTAAAAGTATACAACTATAAAGGCCCATACTAACAGAGTATACAACTATAAAGGCCTATAGACTAAGCAATCATTATTTTTTTTTATTAAGTTATGAAAAACTAATACAAATTCAGCTACAGAATATTTCTAACATTTACATGCACCTAACAAATCTAATCACTCCTAAAATCCTTTTCTAAGTATCCTATTCTAACTAAGTATCCAGTTTGCGATGTTGAATACTAGTGTGTGTATGTCTGTGATGTTGGTCTCAAAGAAACGATTATTTTTTACCAAGTATACCATGAACCATCTTCAAAGGCATGAATCACTATTACAGATGAAGACCTGGCCCTTGTTAATGAAACGACCATTGCAGCAATTGGACTGGAAGAACTTTATTTAAAATTTAATTTAATTAAGGAACTTTACATAGCTATCCTGATCTAAGGAGACATGAACGAACAAACCATTAGAATATATATCTGTTTTAACCACAGTACAATATAAACTTCAAACAAAGTTTACACTCGAAAGCCAGTGAGGCATTAACATTTTGGGTGCTTTCTTTAACTCTCTGCAAGGTCACTTGTTTACCACACGTGCACAAAATGATAGAGACACCACTAAACAACACGATTAATTGTGCATCATGATTTTGCAAAATTAGAATAGATTAATCTTGCACTGGACATAGTTAAATAATCTTGAAAGCCTTTGGTAGGCCTATATCTATCCCATAAAAGAATAACATTGGCTAACATGTGGTAAAGGGACGATATCTGCATCGCATATAAATAGTATACATTATATGTTATTCTGACCATCAGAGAATGGTGAACTTGTGCTTTACTTGTATCGTATCGTATCGTATCGTATTGTGACAAAAGTGATGTTTAAATGTCTTATTATTTTCAAGATAAGTAGTATTAGTAAGGGACATCAAAAGGCCTGTCATACACTTTTAGAAAGAGTTAGCACCTTTCTGTCTCTGAATAGACAAATCATAAAGGCCCAAATTCACAAAGGAGGTTTAAATTCAACCCATGGTTTAAATCTTTATTTACATAACCCATCAGCGCGACACAGTCAGAGGTCCAATATTAGACGCGCGCAAGGCAAGCAACACCTATTTTGCACTAATTTTTAAACCATGGGTTATGTAAATGAGGGTTTAAAGTAACCATGGGTTGAGTTAAACCTCCTTTGTGAGTTCGGGCCCTAGTGTTTACATCACCAGAGTGGGCACCTGCCATTATTGCTTGATAAATAGTTTAAACTAGAGATCCATGTCACAACTCATCATTTCTGCTTCCTCCCAGTGCTTTGACTGCAGATTTCATTGCTTCAGTCACTGAAAGGGATGAATGAGAGACAACAAAAGATATCAAAATAGAGAAACCATAATTGCAAAATTTCATTCAAAGCTGAATATATAACAAAGATTTGACAAGTGGCAATAAGAGGTAAAATAAGATTTGGAAAGAAGTTGTTACACAATTTAATAATTGGTAAAGAAGTAAGGGAACCAAACAAAAACTAAGATCGTTTAGATCTTACATTATCACTAGCAGCCTTAGCAGGGGATCTTTATTATTTGTACCTTATTTTGTAGAATTCTCAACTTACTTTTTTGCAGATTTGAATTTGAAGTACATGTACATGTATGTATATTGTTCAGGAGATGCAAAACATTTTGAAAGGAACATTTGGCTGAGCATGCAACCAAGCATATTATTTGTTTTGCAATGTCACAGTATTGTTTGTACCTGTCTATTCGAAACGTTGGGTGGAGGTGGGGGAAGGGGCTACATATTACAACCCCCAGCCTCTAATCCGGCAGATCAATATCTATAGGAAGTGTGTTATATAACCTACTAAACATATACATGACTGTATCACTCACAACAAGCTGTACATACCCATTAGAGCATTTGAATAGAAGAACTTGTATTGGGGATTTCCTAATGTGTTGATTAGGTCAGGTTGAACTACGCCATCTGAGTTTAGAAAGAGTATACGAGGAATGTATCCACCGTCGGGCTGAAATTGAGATCCTTCAGGTTCCTCGTCATCCTGGGGAAGATAAACATCACAAAACATCACAATGAAAGTTTGATATCTTAACCCTTTCAGTACCATCATATATACTTCTATCAACATCAGCTCCTACTTTCTCAACTCCCAAAGTAAATCTTTTGATTCACTGGCCCACAAGTTTAGAAACTAATTCCCTGCATGTTTTAACGATATCAATTCCCTTCACTTCTTCAAAAAAGAAAATAAACACATACCAATTCAACTTCATGTACTTAAAGTGAACCGATAACCTAAAGCTAAATTCAGCACACTCCCTGCACAAGCCTAAGTACACTAAACTAATCAATAGGGACTTTTAGATTTGCGTGGACTGATACGTGTGACTTCCATTCACGGCAGTGCATTAAAAGGACGTCGACCGTAGCAATCCCCATTGTCTTCGTGCGAATCTAAAAGTCCCTAATGTCAATTGGTGACGTCATCATCCTTTATGCGCAGTAACAGTTTAAACTACGGCTGCAGGAATTTCAACACAGGGTGCAACTTCGACCAACAAAATGCTGGAAAAAAGAATTCTAAATGCATTATGCAGTCAAGCCTAGGCTTAATTTTCAAGTATAAATGTGTAGTCGTGATTCAGCCCGAGCCCCTATTGTCGTAAAGTGAGCGTCAACATTGAGCTGCGAAATCAGTCATAGTCATGTATTTGTGTTTCCGGCAAAACCAATGTTGCAAACTTTTGTGAGAAGTTAGAAACCAATTCCATGACAGTCATATCTTGTTTCACAAAAACCATGATAAGCGACAAATTCATGCTTTTGATACTATCGGCTAAAAACCTAATCTTTGTCACGATCCATCAGATTTTATCCTAAATCAACAAAAGAGATTAGAAAAATGAGAATTAATTCGAAAGTACAAAAAGGTGTATTCTTTGCAATTTCTTTGACAAGTATTATGTTCAGTTGGCCCGTAATTTTCCCGTAGAATACCTATCCCGGTGCCAGAAATTGACCCATATAATTATTCTGCTCAATTTGTTGTACCAAATTAGAAGGAAAACTGAAATGCCAAATACCTCCCGAAATGCAAATGTTACTAAAGCAGTGAAGCGCCAAAATAAAAAACGAACAATACACAACACATCCCATAAAGAATGAACATAATTGCAATGCTATTATTTCTCCAATTATAATGAGGTTAGTGTATATAAATGTTGTGGCATTTTACACCATTAGGGATATGAAACCGATTTGATAACTGAATATCTTTTGTTTGTAAATACACAGGATAGGGGTATAATGAACAGTGAACGAAACCAAACGTTCAAATTGACAAACCCCCGGAATGACAGCATGGACGGCATTTTTTCCTTCTTTAACATATCGCGGTGTATGCAGCTGAAAATACAATGGCGTCTAATTTCGTTTACATGTGATGGATTCCTTTATTTTTTTATCGCCGCATTTTTCATCAAAATAATACCATGCGCGGGGTTTAGAGTGAGGCAATTGAATAAACATTTATCCTGACGGTAAGTGAAGTATTAAAGAAATAACTGAAGAGAAGATGACAAAGCAGGCATTGAAAATGTGTGAGATGTCATTGGACATCGTCTACTTGTGCAAATCATGTTAAACATGATTGTGACGTCACACATCTCAGTAGCGTTTGGATAGTTCTTCAGGTAATATGCCAGGGCTATATTTAAGCGTTTTGTAATTGATAATAATCATTTACTTCGAATGTTTCCAAGCATTGAATTTTGATAACCTTGTCTAATCAAAGTTTCACCTTTGCAATAATGACAATAATTTTTTTGGGGTTTTAATCAATGAACCTTCTCTTAAATGGTCAATGCAATTTCTTTGAAATTAATTTCGATTTGATTGCCCTGCCATTAGCTTTCTCGCGAGAGACTTGATGACAGACTAACATCATGGATTTTAATAGTTCCGGGTACAAAAGGTATACAGACGGCATCTGATCGGGAAGTTGTTTGTGGATATTCACACTGAATGTCGGGTGAGAGTCCACCGTATACGGATGCTAGCTGATTGAGAAATTGGAAGTTGGAAAGTTGGAGTGTGAGATGTGGATGTTGCGGGGAATACTGGAAAAAATGGCATCATTCAAAGTTCTGAAACTATTTTTATCAACTCTGTCCCTTTTCGTCTGTTTTCCAAAATTGATACAAGGTAGGTTGCTAGTATCCATTCAAATCAATATTGGCGTGTGATTGTTTGCGTACTGAGGTGATCACGACTGAGTCGATGGTTTATGAAATATATATATATATGATTCCTTTTTAAGGGCGGTGTTCCTGAGAAAGTCAATTTTCCTTTTTTTTTACGTGTGACTAAAGAATAGAACAATAAGATTATGACTTTTAGCTCTTATGCATGCATGTAATTTGGGAATAGGAACAATGTTTGAGATATATACATGTATATATGTATACATATTACCCCCGACTTATTCTGGAAATAAGGGTTTTGATACTTTAAAACCTATGCAGTTTATAATATTCTGTAATATGTTCTGTAATATTAACATGACTTATTTACATAATTGCGACTGATTCAATATTTTCCTATTGACATTACTGTTTACTAGGTTGATAATATATGTTTATTTTGCAAACGAGTATTATTTTGTTAACTGTTCTGTATAAACGTTATAAACGATGTATATGTTCATGTTCATTCAGGGCCCCATGGAAGACCACTACATGTTGGTGAATGGGCTACCCTGTCAAAAGATTAGAAATAAATAAATAAATAAATAAATAAATAAATAAATTGAACCTTTCAAAAATGTCTGAGTATTATAGCATAGAATAAGCAAAATAATGTATAATGAAATTGTGAAATATTACGAATGAAGAGCAAAAAAACTGAATACGCTTAGCGCTTCCTAAATACACTCCTCAAACAGATACCTGCCATTCTAATACACTAAAAGCCTATAGATTAAAGCTAGTTAACAATGATGAATATGACTTGGCTTGAACTTGCTTCAACCAGACTCTAATTTAAGTAGAACAGAAGAACATCTTCCATGGGTAGCCCTGTGGCTTTGAAGTCTGTCTCCCAAGTCCTTACCCTGCCAATTCAATCGAGTAAATTAACCCTCATAAGAATTTGGAACCTGAATTTGTATCAAACATTAGTTATGTACTTAATAATATAGTTCACCAATGGTAATTACATACATATCTCATTTGAATGTTTATCTGGTTTTATTTTATGAGCCCAGTAAACATATGGAAATTGTATATAAATATCGTGACAACTTCTATACGCACATGACATAATGCAACATATCAAAAATTAACAAACATGATCTTTCATCTCATACTAACTTGTGGACAGACAAAATATAGAATTACAAGGTTATAAAATGCGTTTTGACTTTACACTTTCGTTGGTGTTGGATTACCCAGCTACTTGTCTTCTATGGACCTGCGCCCGCAACACCTCCGAGTTATAAACTTCTGAGTTTTAATGTGCAAAGTACAAGTTCTGTAGTGTTGCCCCAGTGCACTCTACCACTGGTCAAATTAGTAGGCACTATGAACATGACGTACAATGAAAGCGGACGAAATATACAGTTCCTCAGGTAGACAAAGGAACATCCCTTCACTGCTTTTATGTAAAAATGTGTGGAACAGGTGTCACATGCATATTCACCTGTTCTACACATTTTTACATAATAGCAGTGAAGGATGTTCCTTTGTCTACCTGAGGAACTGTATATTCCGCTTTCTTTGTCCGCCATATTCATAGTGAGGGTGGACCAACGACCCTTTGTCGAGCCCTTTGAATCCTATGGTCTTGAATCGGGAAAATGGCTCGTCTGAATCTATTTTCCCCAAGTTTCCCATTTTTGTTCATCCTTATAACATGTTAGTCTATTAAGGACCAACGTGTTTTTAGTCTTAATGTAACACCTCTCCTGCAAAAAAAGTTGTTCTAATATTAAAGATTATCACCAACCGACGATATATCCAAATCGGAAGAAAAATGTCAAAATGCATAAAGGATCAGATTTTGACGCTTTAATAAATTGCTCTGTTCATTTTGCTGAAACTATGAACTTCGGCCTCGAAATGCATGTAATACCGTACACAAAATATTTTTAAACAAAATTTTTTTGTTAAAAATTATTTTAGTTAAGATAAAAAATCTCAGGTCCCGCTCCCCGAAGTCACGATTTTGGAAAAATTTCTTCTCGTTGCTCTATATCGAAATTTCTAAAAGGATTTCGCTCAAAATGAACCATTGCGAAAAGATATATGCAGGGTTGATAAAACTTAGTTCCGTATTATCTCATTTAAATTTGCGTGCGACTATTATCTATTGTTCACATTCTCAAACTCAAGTACTCGGGATACAATATGAGCTGAGAAGAAATCCTTCTGTTCAGAAATCGAAACGTACTATAGTGACTATATCATGTATATCATACTACATGTTAGTCTGGGAATAATTGTATTGATGATGATTGATAAGAACGCCGATATGTGCATATAATAAACCCGTTCTACCAATATGTACTGTGTACATATTCATGCACAATGACCATGGTTTCGTTGAATAGAATTGGAACCATAAATGCATTGAAAATACTTCTATTATGATATGAAAAATGTCGTCGTACTTTGCCCTCAGCGAGCGTGCTTCAAGGTTGTGATATACGTCAAGTGTGTTTAGGGGGGCGCTACAGTATGCTTATTATTGTCCTAGACAGACAGAAATGTGCAATGCTTGAAGGGACAAAATTTCAGTCCTTTTCAGTTTATGCGCATTTAAGTTCCTTTTCAAAAATATCTTGATGACGAGAGAAATGCTTGTTAAATAAATGTGAGGTGTCTTGTTTGCTTGCTTTCAGCGTAGTTGATTCGGGGTTGTCCCCATTCTTATATTTGTTATCAGGGTGTTCATTGAAATGTTTAGACCTCCCCTAGGTGATCGCATTCGATCTACCAACCAGACGCATGATAAAACTTTGCAAATCATGATATCCGCGGCTA